CTCCGCAGGCGGCCGGCTGGCGGCCCCCAGCCCCTGCTTCTTGAGAAGACATCTGCCGTTTTCACCCCCGGGTGGGTCCCGGGCCTTTTGAACTACAACAGATGTTCAGGGGAACCGGTATTCCCAGAGTGTGTAGTTAAGAAACGCTTTTTTGGAGGAGGGGGTAGGATTGGAAAGCGTGGTTGCCCAGGGGATACCTTGTTGAGAAGATAATTAGCAATTAGTTTAACTGAAGTGCAGAACTCCCTTGAGAAAATACAGTGGCTTATGTACTCTCCAGATCTGTTAATTTTGAAGGCTCTCTGCCAATTGTGCTTCTCTGGACCCTCCTTTGTATCGGTAAGGGAGTTCCCCAGCTCATGGGAGGGATTTAGAATGCAAGAGGTTTGTGATGCAGCTCCAAACAGTCTGGAAAACTAGAAAACACTAAGTACAGAAAGAGCCGATACTATGGTTGGCCTGTGAAGGACATTTTGAAAATAACCATGAGTTTATTGATTGCTTTCAAGAAGCAAGACCTGTGATGGTCAATACAGGAGCCACTGTATGGCTCTTTATGCTTCAGTTAAGAATATGTATTAGCCGGCCGTGGTGGCGCACGCCTGTAATCCCAGCACTGGGGAGGCTGAGGCAGGAGGATCGCTGTGAGTTCGAGACCAGCCTGGGCTACATAGTGAGTTTCAGGTCAGTCTCAACTACATAGTGAGACCCTGTCTCAAAAAACAAAACAAAACAAAGTATTGGTTAGGGGTGTAACTCAAAAACCTGGGTTCCATTCCATCACTGGAAAATAGGACAGAACTGAAAAGAGGAAAGGGGAAAGAAAAAATGAAGGGAAACTAAAGGAGAAAGGCAAGGAAAGGAAAGGAAGAAAATTCAGTGCCTCTTGTATTGTTTTAAACACTTTTCAGGTACCCAATAGCCATGTTTGCTTAGTGGCTATCATATTGGATGAGCAGATGAACAGTTCAGTCATAGACTGGTAATGACTAAAGAGTAGTAGTTGTTTTGCTTAGTAAATATTCCAGATGGTGCTTAATTCATTGAACGTATATTATTAAGTGATCACTGTGTGCCGCACATTGTCCCAGGTGTTAAGGAAACTTTGGTGAACTCAAACATTTTTGGTCCTTGCCTTCCTAGTGTTCATAGATTAGAGACAGTTAAAATTCAGATGGTCTTATAGATAAAAGTAGAACTTCTAAGTGCTAAAATGTTAAGAAAGCATAAATAAGTTAATATGGTCTTGTTAGTGAAGGAAGGGAGCGTACTAGGAAGTTCCAGGGCTGAACTCACTATGTAGTCCAAGCCAGCCTTGGATTCGTGGTGATGCTCCTGTTTCATCCTCCCAAATGCTGGATTACAGGTATGTGCCACCATGCCCGGCAACAGCAACTTTTAACTGAGTCATGAACAGTGCTTGGAAGTCTTTGTTTTCCTGTCAGCCGCCAGCCCTGAACCTAGTGTTCACCATTTCCCCCTTCTGCAAGTTACCATTTGACAGGAGAGAGAACACAGACTTAAATCCTTATCCTTGTCAATATTATGTCATTTTTGTAAAAAAAAAAATACTGGGATTGTTTTTAGGTTTGTTTTTTCTCCTCAGTACTGGGAATAGAACTCAGGGCCTCGCACTTGCCATGCAGGCATGGCATCACTGAGCTAAATCCCCGGTCCTAGGATTGTTTTTCAATGCCTTAGAACAGATAAAGTATATAGAAGTTTTTCTTTCTTGTTTGAAAATGTCATCCATGAAACTACTGTGTCTCTGGATTCCTCTTAGGGTTGTAGTCTTATCTCCATAAACTCTCTTTTATTGAGTTAATTTTGGTAATTTGTTTTTTTTCTTTTTATTGAGTTTATTGGTATAATCTAGGTATACAATACAGTTATATTCATTATTGGGATCCTGTACCTGTACATAATAGGTCTTGATTCTCATTTTTTCCCCTTGTCTCTGCCCGCCCTTCATCCTCTCCTCCCCTCCCCATTTACAAACACTTTATTTCCATTGTTTCAATTTCTCATATTTTTTTCCTCTCCCTTATTACCTTTCCCCCACCCTTCCCACTTTCCCTACACCTTTAGCCCGTTACCTCCTATTTCACATTATTAATTATCTCATTAGGTTCCTGTGTACTATTATAGTTGTTCACACCAGAGAAACTATTCGGTATTTCAGTTAAAGAAATCTCTGTATGAACATTAAAAATAGGGAATCCTAAAATAAAACTAAAAAGGAAAGTAAAAGAGAAAAGGCAATGATGTAAAATTAAAATAATCCTTAATTCTGAAGATGAAAATGGTTCCTTAACATATTTAAATTGCTCCTTGCTCTTGTAGTCTTATCTTATTCTTTTTTTCATTATTTAGCGAATACTTTATTAGTTTCTGTAATCAAACCCACATAGATATGACCTTACATATTTAATACAGTGCGTTACCCCTGTGGTAATTTGTGATTTTCTAGAAATCAGTGAGAAAGAATTTCTAGTTAATTATAATAGAGTACTATACAATATTTATTTTTCAATTTATGTATAATGCTCTCCTTTCTAATTTTATGTAATTATTTTTTTCTTGATTTAATTGGTTGGGGTTTATTTTATTTTCACCCAGGGAAACCACTCTGGGATTTAAGTTTAATTTTGTTGCTTTCCTTTATTTTCTTTACAATGCTAGAGATTGAACCCTTGCACATGCTAGGCAAGTGTTCTACCACTGAATTACATCCTCAGCCCACTTTTCCTTTTTAAAAATAACAATAATATAGTTTTCATCTAATCCAATACCATATGCCCTTAGTATCAGTATCATACCCTAAATCTAGCCACCTCTGAAAAGCCCTACCTGAGTGCATGAGGCTTTTGGGGGACATTAGATACAAGCCAAACACCCATTTGTTAGGTTATTTATCTATAATTTTTGAGTTATAAGAATTCTTTATATATTCTTGATACAATTCTCTTGTCATATGTGATTTGCAAATAATTTTGTGATTTCTTATTCTTAATATGGGATCTTTTGAAATGGTAAAGTTTTTATTTTTGAAGCAGTCCAGTTTAACTGCTTTTGTTTCATTAATGGTACTTTTGATGTCTTTCTAAGAATCTTTTGTTGAATGTGAGGTCACGAAGACTTACTGTGTTTTTTCTCTCTTAAAAAAAAAATTTCTGAACAACTTTATTTCAGTCTCTTTGCACTCTCCTCCAAAATGACTTGGGTTGGTACAGCATATATTAAAGGAAGATAACACTTGATCTTAGCCAAAAGGCTCAGAAGTGATAATAAAAGGAAGATACAAATAGAAGTCCCATACTGGCACTTAGGAAAAACCAGGAATTGTACCTGGGGTTTCCAAACACAACCTGCAACAGCTACTGATGTCCCTTTGTAAGAGCCAAATTTATCTGTTAATACAGTACTGTAAATGCTGACACCTCTTCTGGAACTAATCTATAGATTTTCTAACACCTGCCCCTTGTATGTCCAGAAAAATACCAAAACACAGCCAAAGTGCCTTTGTTTATATCAAAATATCTTTTTTCCCATTCCGTGCTCAGACCTTTCTATACCACTTAAGATTATTATCCTGCAAGACTAGTAATTTTTTATCATTTATACAGTTTAGTATGTGGGAACTGTTTTAATAAATTAAGCACAAAAATGGGAAAAAAAATAAAATAGGACGATAAAAGCTGGGCCATAATTTGGCTTGGAGGAGAACATAGTGGTTAATGAAGACAACCATTGTGGGGGTGTGACCTCCCTTCAGGTGAAGAAGTGCCAACCACTTTGAGCCCAGAATGACACTAGAGTTTCTTACAAACAACCAAAATTTATAGTTGTGACTGTGCCATGGCCACTTTGGGCATTCTAACAGGTGGCACAGCCATAGAGCAGTGCAGGCATGATACTGGTCCATGGACAAGGTTCTGAGCCTACAAGTGAGGGGCAGGTTTCTTTTTAAGGGAGCACCTAGGATGAAGTATGCAGACTAGACTTTCCATGCCACCTTAGCTGGTTAGGGAGGCAAGGTGCAGGTCTGGAGGAAGAGATGGTTGCATCCTTTGTGAGTACTTAAGATTCTCCCTCTCTCTCTCTCTCTTTTTTTTTTTTAACTTTTTGAGACAAGTTCTTGCTCTGTAATTCAGGCTGGCCTTGAACTCACTGTGCAGCCCAGGCTACATAGTGATCTTCTTGCCTCTGCCTCTTGGATCCTGGGCTTACCACCATGCCTGACTAGTACTTCAGATTCTGATGGAATGTCCTAAATGTTCCTTATACTATTTCGGAGAGCATCTATGGTTGCAGTCTAACTGCAATCAAATGTTCATGCTTTCCAACCAGTACTAGCTGCTTTTTGCTTGCTCCTTGATGCCTTTGGTTCAGTTCTTATGTTACTTTGTTGATTTTTTTTTTTTTTTGGTCTAGGTTTCCTGTCTATTTGTGACAGTGGGGTATTGAGCTCCCCTGTAACAGTTGTATTAGTGCTTATTTGATTTTTAATGTCTGTTAATATTTGTTTTATATAGTTGGAAGTGCTGGTATTTGGTGTAGATATATTTATGATTCTTATCTCTTTCTCTTGGCTTGTTCCCTTTACAAGGATGTAGTGACCTTCTTTGTCTCACTTAATCAGTCTTGGCTTTGTGTGCAACTGGAATAGCTACCCCTCCTTTTTTTTTTTCTGGTTTCCTGTTTCATAGAATATTGTTTTCCATCCTTTGACTTTTAGTGTATGAATTTATTTTTGAATTAAATGCTTTTCTTGCATCTAGCATATTGTTGGATCTTGCTTCTTAATACATTCTGCCAGTCTTCTCTTCATCAGTGAATTGAGACCATTTACATGGATAATTATA